CCATTTTTTCCCATTTTTTCCCCATTTTTTCCCATTTTTTTCTCATTTTTTTCCCATTTTTTTCTCATTTTTTCCCCAATTTTTTCCCATTTTTTCCCATTTTTTCCCCATTTTTTCCCATTTTTTTCTCATTTTTTCCCCAATTTTTTCCCATTTTTTCCCCAATTTTTTCTCATTTTTTCCCCATTTTTCCCCATTTTTTTCCCGTTTTTTTCCCATTTTTTCCCATTTTTTTCTCATTTTTTCCCATTTTTTTCCCATTTTTTCCCCATTTTTTTCCCATTTTTTTCTCATTTTTTCTCATTTTTTTCTCATTTTTTCCCATTTTTTCCTCATTTCAGGAAAAATTGCACCTTGGAGCTTTTCCTCTTGCTCTGCGAATCCTGAAAATCCCAAAAATTCCAGCAAAAAACAAAAATTAACTTTTGCACATTTTTTCCCATTTTTTTCCCATTTTTTTTTTATTTTTTCCCATTTTTCCCTGTTTTTTTCCCATTTTTTTCTCATTTTTTCCCATTTTTTTCCCATTTTTTTCCATTTTTCCCCCATTTTTTCCCATTTTTTCCCATTTTTTCGCATTTTTTCCCCAATTTTCCCCCATTTTTTTCCCCATTTTTTCCCATTTTTTTCTCATTTTTTCCCCAATTTTTTCCCATTTTTTCCCATTTTTTCCCCATTTTTTCCCCATTTTTTCCCATTTTTTCCCCATTTTTTTCCCAATTTTTTCCCATTTTTTCCCATTTTTTCCCCATTTTTTCCCCATTTTTCCCCATTTTTTCCACATTTTTTCCCATTTTTTCCCCATTTTTTCCCCATTTTTTCCCATTTTTTTCTCATTTTTTCTCATTTTTTTCTCATTTTTTCCCATTTTTTCCTCATTTCAGGAAAAATTGCACCTTGGAGCTTTTCCTCTTGCTCTGCGAATCCTGAAAATCCCAAAAATTCCAGCAAAAAACAAAAATTAACTTTTGCACATTTTTTCCCATTTTTTTCCCATTTTTTTTTTATTTTTTCCCATTTTTCCCCGTTTTTTTCCCATTTTTTTCTCATTTTTTCCCATTTTTTTCCCATTTTTTTCCATTTTTCCCCCATTTTTTCCCATTTTTTCCCATTTTTTCGCATTTTTTCCCCAATTTTCCCCCATTTTTTTCCCCATTTTTTCCCATTTTTTTCTCATTTTTTCCCCAATTTTTTCCCATTTTTTCCCATTTTTTCCCCATTTTTTCCCCATTTTTTCCCATTTTTTCCCCATTTTTTTCCCAATTTTTTCCCATTTTTTCCCATTTTTTCCCCATTTTTTCCCCATTTTTCCCCATTTTTTCCACATTTTTTCCCATTTTTTCCCCATTTTTTCCCCATTTTTTCCCATTTTTTTCTCATTTTTTCTCATTTTTTTCTCATTTTTTCCCATTTTTTCCTCATTTCAGGAAAAATTGCACCTTGGAGCTTTTCCTCTTGCTCTGCAAATCCTGAAAATCCCAAAAATTCCAGCAAAAAACAAAAATTAACTTTTGCACAATTTTTCCCATTTTTTTCCAATTTTTTTCACATTTTTTTCTCATTTTTTCCCGTTTTTTTCCCATTTTTTTCCCATTTTTTCTCATTTTTTCCCCATTTTTTCCCCATTTTTTCCCATTTTTTTCCCATTTTTTCTCATTTTTTCTCATTTTTTTCTCATTTTTTCCCATTTTTTCCCATTTTTTCCCCATTTTTTCCCATTTTTTCCTCAATTTTTCCCCATTTTTTCCTCATTTTTTCCCATTTTTTCCCCAATTTTTTCACCCATTTTTTCCCATTTCTTTCTCATTTTTTTCCCATTTTTTCCCCATTTTTTCCCCATTTTTCCCCATTTTTTCCCCATTTTTTCCCATTTTTTCCCCATTTTTTCCCCATTTTTTCCTCATTTTTTCCCATTTTTTCCCCATTTTTTCCCCATTTTTTTCCCATTTTTTCCCCATTTTTTCCCATTTTTTCCCATTTTTTCCCCAATTTTTCCCCATTTTTTCCCCATTTTTTCCCATTTTTTCCCCACATTTTTCCCCATTTTTCCCCCATTTTTCCCCATTTTTTTCTCATTTTTTCCCATTTTTTTCCCCATTTTTCCCCATTTTTCCCCCATTTTTTCCCCATTTTTTTCTCATTTTTTCCCATTTTTTCCCCACATTTTCCCCCATTTTTTCCCCATTTTTCCCCCATTTTTCCCCCATTTTTTCCCCACATTTTTCACCATTTTTTTCTCATTTTTTCCCCATTTTTCCCCATTTTTTTCCCATTTTCCCCCATTTTTTCCCCATTTTTTTCCCATTTTTTTCCCATTTTTTCCCCATTTTTTTCCCATTTTTTTCTCATTTTTTCTCATTTTTTTCTCATTTTTTCCCATTTTTTCCTCATTTCAGGAAAAATTGCACCTTGGAGCTTTTCCTCTTGTTCTGCAAATCCTGAAAATCCCAAAAATTCCAGCAAAAAACAAAAATTAACTTTTGCAC